TGTCCAGGCTGGGTGTGGCCGGGCCATATTTTAGTAACCCAGGTCAAGCCCGGTTGTTACTCAGGCTTTGAATTAGGAAAAGACAAGAGGTGGGGACAGAGCTGGGAGTGGCTCTGAATTCCTAGCTGTGGCGCCCGTGGCTGGTGGGCTGTTCCTCCAGCTTGGCCGGCTCCATTGCTAAGGATCCTTAGCCCCTGAGCAACGGGAATCTGGGGGGGGGGGGCAAGGCAGAATCCGAAACACGAGGGAGGGGCAGCAGGCCAGGGGCTGCCCCAGAGTCCCGCCCTCCTCCCGCTGCCCAACAGGGAGCTCGAACCTTGGGGCTCAGGCTGCTGAGGGAGGAGGTGGTGGAGACACTGCTGGCCAGGCTCAGGCTGCTCCGGGGTCTGCCCTCCTCCATGGAGAGAGCTGAGGGAGAGGAAGAAAAGGGCTGTGTCTGCAGCTGACCCGGCTGGGCACAGAGCTGGGGTCAGGCCCGGAGGTCGCAGGAGCCTGAAGAGAAAGAATCTGTTGTTTGGAGACTGGGGGGCTGGGGGAGGCCCTGGCTGGGACCACATACTCAGGGCCAAGCCAACAGAGGTGGGCGGTTCTGGCAGCTTCTGGGGAGGGGGCAGCTGTTTGCAGCACAGGACAGAGAATAGGGGCCCCTTTATTCCTGCCCCCCGGCTCCCGTCAGGAATTTGACCTTCTTACTGCTCAGGGACCCCCCATTCCCTGCCCCCTTCCGACTGCCACGGGCTACCTGTCTCCTGCCCTCCCACTTGCACCCTCAAACCATCCCCAAGCCAAACCCTGGGGCACCAGGAATGTGCCTGCAGGCAGCCTTCCTGGCCCAGCCAAGGAACTTACCCAGCTCTGGGGTCCCAAGGGCAGTGTGGGTGCTGGGGTGCCTCAGTCCCAGTCTGCTCACTTCTCAGTCTCTCATGCCCCTCGGTTTCCTCTCTGCACCCTCAAGTTCTCTGGGTCTCCGTCACTCTCTCTTGTGGTCTCTCTTTTCTTCTCACACTCTCCCTTTTCTAGAACTTTCTCCAGTCTCACCTTCCTTGTCTGATTCCCTCACTCACTTCTCCTCGCCCGGCCCCATCACTTTCTCTCCTAATCTCTTCTGTTTCTCTCCCAATCTTTTTCTCACAGAATCTCTCCCCTTCAGTCTCTGCCTCCCTCCCTCCCTCTCTCTCTCTGTGGCACTTCCCTGTCTGCTGTTTCCTTCTCTCGGAGTGTCCTCACTTTCTGTCTCGGTTACTCTTTCCTCTGGCTGGTCTCTCCCTCCCTCTGCCAGCCGCCCACGCTCCTGTCTCCCCTCCCAATCCCAGCTGTCCCCGCCCTTTTCTGGCCTCCCCACCACAGCCTGACCCCTGGCTCAGCTGCCCCCACAGATGAAGGCAGGGACTGGGGCCCCCCCACTCCTGGGTCCACTAAGAGCTTAAGTGGGACCCTGAACAATTTAAAAGTGTAGGAGCTGGGGGGCCAGACTCCAAAGTCCCAGGGACTGACTGTGGTCAGGGGCGTGGGGCACTGG